CTGGTTGACGACCGGGCCGCGGGGATGCTAAGCCCTGGAAGCACCTCAAGGTAACCTCAAGGTAACCATGTTTGACATATTTCATCAACAGACTTAATTTGGGATCTCTACCAGTTGCCTTCCTAATAGTCTGGAATGAAATATCCTCAAAAGACATAGATTCCACCAGGTTAACATACTCCACTGGAATACTGGAATTTAATTCTTCTGTCACAGGCAATCTACTTAATGCATCAGCTACTGTACTACATTATCCTTGCCTGGCTTAAACTCTAAATCATACTCAAACTGCGAGAGTAGTAATGCCCATCTTTGAATTCTAGCATTGGCATAAACTGGAATCTGCTTACCTCTGCCAAACAATCCTAGCAGGGGTTTATGGTCTGTTCTAGCAAGAAATTTCCTCCCCAGCAGAAAATACCTCAGTTTTTTTTTACAGCATATACCAAAGCTAAGGCTTCTTTATCTAACTGAGAATAAATCTGTTCTGCAGGAGATAATTTCTTGCTAGCAAAATATACTACTTTATCCTGACCATCTACTTCCTGTAATAATACACAACCCACTCCTACTGGGGAAGCATCTACCTCCAGTTTTAATGGGAGTCTACCTGTAAAATTAGTGAGCACTGGAGAATTGATCAATTCCTGCTTAGTATTCCTGAATGCATTTTCCTCTCTTGCTGCCCACTTAAATCTAGCCCCTTTTTTCAACAATTCATACAAGGGTGCTAATTTTGTTGAAAAGTTCTTCACGAACTTACAAAAATATGTAACCATCCCAACAAAAGACTGTACTTCTCCAACTGATGTTGGGGCTGGGGCATCTATTATAGCAGCTACATTTTTGTGAGGAGTAAAGCCCTTACCTGAAATATGGTACCCCAGATATTCAATGGCCTTGGTCTTCAACGTTGTTTTTCCCTTATTAATCTTCACACTGTGCTTTTGCAAAAGATTCAAAACTTGTTCTAATCTAACATCATGCACTTCCTCATTCTCTCCACATACAATAATGTCATCTAAAAAACTAGCCACACCTTCAATGTTAACTAACAACTGGGACATGAATCTCTGAAAAATTGCTGGAGACGAGGAGAGTCCAAAATTAAGTCTTTTATGCTTAAATAACCCCTTGTGGGTATTAATCACTAACAATTTCTGGCTCTCCTCCTCTACAGGAATTTGCAAGTAAGCATCTTTCAGGTCAATCTTAGAAAAAATTGCCCCCTTGCAGACCACTGACAACAACTCATCTATCTTAGGTAAAGGGTACTTCTCACAGTGTATGCGGTTGTTCAGTTCCTTGAAGTCTGCACAGATTCTCAAGGATTTCCGATCTGCCTTCAACACTGGTACAATTGGGGCTGCCCACTATGTGTAATTGGCTCTAAGATGCCTTCTGCCACATGCTTTTCCAGGGCTGATTCTACCAATTGCTTGTAATGAAACGGCACTGTTCTTGCCTTGAAAAATTTAGGTGAAGCCCCACTTTTCAGGTGAATTTTTGCCACCATGCTATTAATTGGCTTATCTGCCTCCACTGAATATTTATCTAACATTTGTTCGGCACTTTTAATTGTTTTAACTACCGACAATTCATCTAGGCCCGCCAAGAAAATTCCCACTTTTTCCATGAGATCCTTACCACATAGGCTAGGATTATGTGAATCCACTACATAAAAATCCTTGACAATTTCTTTCCATTATAACTTACTTTTGCCGACACCTTGCCATAGACCTTAATTGGTACATTTACATAAGCACTTAATGATTTTTTACCTGGTTTTACATTCAATTGCAAGGTATCTGCCCAATCTCTAGACAATGTTGACACTGCAGCACCAGTGTCCAGTTCCAGGGAACTAACTTCCCATTAATTACAAAATTCACCACTTGTGACTTCACTGAAAATACCTTTTCTTTCACCGAATATAGTCGGTTTTCCTCACCTGCAGCTTCTTCAGACTGGTTACCTTCCTCTACTGCCTTGAACACAGTACCACTACCTCTTCTTCCTGCATTCCCTGGTCGTCTCCTCTCCCAGGCCTTGCTGTCCTGTTCAGATATTCCTACACACTCTCTGCAAGTGTCCCTCCTTGTTACAAAAGTTGCATATATAGGCACGAAACTTGCACTTGCTACTTATGTGATGTATCCACAGTGTTTACATCTGGTCTGGCCCTGTACGACCATAATTTCTGAGTAGAAGTCTTACTTCCAAAAGCCTTTCCAGGTTCAATATCTTCTCGAGCAGTGTCCATGAAGTCATCGATTGTAGATCCAAATTTTCTGCCTCCAGGTTACGGATATAATTCTCCTTTTCCACTGCCATGAACAACTGGTCCCTAACCCTGCTGTCCAACTGTGCTCCGAAGTTGCAGTGGTTAGCCAAAGCCTTCAATTCCGCAAATAAATCCTGTATGGATTCCTGCTGCTTTTTCGTCCTCTTCTGGAAATCCATCAAACTCCTGTGATATGATGGTTTCACCACATACTGACGTTTAAGCAGAGCAATGAGGTCTACATAGGTCTTCGTGTGCGGTAGCTCAGGTGCACACAAATTTCCGAGAACACATATATGCTTCAGAACCCAGTGAAACTAAGAGTGTAACACGGGGAGGGTTTCTCTACCTATCTTTCCTTCTTCTTTTCCCCCTCTACCCGTATTCTTACTTTTTATTCTCTACAAGGGACTCCAAAACTTTTACCAAAGCCAACTCCACGCCACGTGGTCCTAAGACGATTGACCGACTTAGGATTCTACAACCAGTATGACGTCACCTAGGCTTCGAGCAAAACCCTAGAGTCGCCTCCGCCGCCACCACCAGACCAGTAACACAGAGCAATGATCGAGGTCTGGATCGATCATGCTAATTAATCAACCTTGGGGCTTGATCCCCACTATAACCGATGACCTTGAGAGTTCTTAAGTGTGGAATTAATTACACGGGAATGATGAATTCCGATTCGATGTTAGAATCGACACCCAATCCAACTCTGCCTCGTGTGGACCACGTGACCAGGACAAGTAAACATAAACAAATGGAAACAATAAAAATGCAAATTATTAACTAATTAATTTATTAAAAGAAAAACTAAAACAAAATCTAAATATGTTCACTCCCTGTCACTTTAACACTCCCTACTTGACCTGAATGGCAATGAGTTGACTATCCCTATAAATAACAATAGCAACTATACCTCTATGTTTTACCAGCTAAAGATGTTGGACTGGTCTTGGGGGAGAGGTAAGATGGTTGACCTCCCCCAGTTGATCTGGACTCCACACTGATCTCTCCTCGTCTGGTCTACCCCAGACTAGAGCATTGTATTGTTCCGCATCGCTTACCCAGTTACTTAGCCAGGTTTAAGTTATAACAATTAACCTCTGTTTGTACTGAATTGATCCAGACTGGTTGAATTATTTTACTGAAATTAAATTACACAAGCATCTAACGGCAGAGCTGTTCCCGTTCCTCAAAATGGTTATTAAAACTTTGAGAAATAGTAGACATGTCAACACTGATGACCTATGACCGCCAGGTCACTCTGCCTTACAACTTAGATCTGATTCGTGATGTCACTGATGGTGACTTAACTCAATAATTAGAATACTCTTGATATTGCACCCAGTAATATTATACAATACAATTTTAATACAAATGAATAAAGGCTAATTTCTTAACTTACTGAATACTATAGGATGATTCATTATACGCAGCTATGAACAAGGCGTCGATTATTTTCACCGCGAATTCCCCTGGGGTCAGGTCCCGGGTCACCACGCGGGCTCAGCTTCCCATTCTCTTTTGTCGATAAACCACTCTGGATAATTCTTACAACCAGCCTAGTTTGTTACAAGAGTACCGCTTTCTTGTTGGCGTCCTCCTTAATCTCCCGGTACTGAAAGTTTGCTTTCAGCAGGCTGAGCCACAGGTCCAACGAGATCTTGGCAGTGTTTAACGGCTCCATTGACATGAGCGGCGTAGCCATGGCCACGGTGGTAGCACACTCCACTGTTGTATGCGAAGCGTCCACTCGTCCACATGACATACCCTGCTCTCCTGATCCTCACGCCACGTCTCGTACCCAGGCTCTCTGCCGGAGATGTTTTATCCTCGTCGCCACTGTTATGGTTGTGGTAAGAGAAACAATCTTCGTCCACATGGTTTTATTCTCCGCCAGTAACAACAACAAAACAATTATCAGGTACATGAAATATTATTACCAAGATCATAAACAAAAGAGCATCTGCTCCAAACATGCTACCTCCAACATCTGTAGTACTCAATCCCAACACACTTTGCCGGAACTTTGACGGCAGTTAATCCCCATATTCTAAGGGGAGGTCTAGCTATCTCCTCCAAAAGCCATCTCGAGCACAGAATGATTTTGTAAAAATTTATGGCCTAAAATCACATCAGCACACAAATCGGGTAACACTTTGAGATTCACACCATGGTAAGTTTCTCCTTGCAATTCTAAGTCTACAGAACACTGACCCAGGAATTTTCAAGAGAACGATACAGTAGCCATAGAAACTGCCCCATTGTCAGGATAGACGAGTAACCCACTTGCTCGGCAATATCTTAGAATAAAGTTCTCAGAGCTACCAGTGTCAACAGTGCACTGACTGGAATACCATTGATCTTAGATCTAAGGACTGATTTATTGAGGCATGAGGGCGAAGTCCCAGCTAAAGTAGCGAGCATAGCAGCGGAATGTTGGGTGTTTGAAGCACTGTTAGTCTGTTTCAGAGATCGGCAGACCTTAGCATAATGACCCTTTTTCTTGCAATTCATACACAGAGCCTCTCTAGCTGGACATCGACTGTGAGGATGTCGAGTGTAACCACAAAAGAAGCACTTTAAACCACTAGTTTTAGCTGCAGAAACTGTGTTAACCTTTTCTTCTACACTTTCTTGTCCTCCTAAGTCCTCCAGGTCTAATGAGAGTGCCATGGCAGTGTTTGTAGCCCCTGGCTGAGCATAAGAGGAAGAAAGTTTCTGTGCCGTTTCTAGAGTGCGAGCTTGGTCAAAGGCAAACTGTAAGTCTAAAGTTTTATTTTCAAGTAAGCGCTGCCATATTGTGGCAGAACCTAGCACATTAATGAAAGCATCTCTCACATAGTTATCACAGGCTTCTACAGCAGTCACTGCTTTGAACTAGCAATCTTTAGCTAATAACTTTAAAGCCTGAAGAAACTGATCAAGCGACTCATCGGGTTCTTGGCGTCGTGTTGCAAGCACATACCTTGCAAATACTTCATTCTTGGGCTTCACAAACAGTTCTGTTAGGGATTTTTCAGCAGCATCATACGTAGTGCAGTCAGCTATGTAGTCGAACACGCGTGGAGCAACGTAGTTTATTAAGAGACGCAGCTTATCCACGGTGGGGGTATTTTCTTCTACTGCTAGAGTGAAGTTTTGGGACGTCTTGAGCCAGTGACGCCATTCCTGAGCGGCGTAGGTGGCATTTGGGTCAGTAGTGTAGTGAGTAAACCTATACTCGCTCCATTATCTCATCATCGTAATGCATAACTAATTACACAAGCTATAATCCTATCCCTATTTACAGGTAACGGTTTTTCCACCCTCCTATCTTACTGTGAGGTGCAGTCACCGTATTTAAGCAAGCGATTTGAGAATAGCAAACCAGTACAATCTCCAGTCAAGAATGTAGTACTCGGTGTGGGCAGTTCTAATCGACCCAAGACGCTACAGCTTCAACACAGAGCAGACAGCAGACTACGACCGCATCCAGCTATAACACTCTCGCTCCCCGAGTTCAGACACTCGCAATTCCCAATCGAGCTGCTACGCTCTCCCACATTGAGCTCCACGACTCCGGCCTCACTCAGCTCTCTGCTCTGCTCCAGGCTTCGTCTCAACGTCTACGACACTGCTGTATCCAGGACTACTAAATAAATATGAAATTCACTAAACACTTTGTATATAATCAACTCAGCAACTTAACATAATCGTACGTGAATCATGGACCGGGTCGGGAGATGGAGTGAGAGCGAGACCTGACTTCCCGCGCTTTTTATGCCACCCAATCCTGGCCGGGGACTGGTCAAGTCGTCTACTGCAATTTCGGATACCGGGCTAGAAACAACTTCGTTCACTGAGAAGTTTGTACATACAAACCATTCCGTTCGTATATGCGCTGGTTTGTGTTCGCTGTTGTTCTCGTCTGAATAAATACATGGCTAATACAGTAACAACAACTGAACCATGTGAGGTTAGCAGACACTGACCAGGTCCACTAACTCCATCTGATTGTAAAGTGTGAAATAATACTATAGTGTATTTTTCAGTCGCGCTGCCAATTATTTGATTTAAACCCACACTCTCAAGAAAACGTGTACATCACAAAACCTATAGATATAATGTAGGTATATATTAGTTAGTCTTCATACATTTAAAACTTTCTAAGCAAAATTGTCAGGTCGCTAAAGTAAATGCTACCAATTCTCTGGTCTGTTAAAATGAACCTTCCCACCCCTCTCTCGCTCGCCTCTCAACATCTCTCTCTCTCTCTCTCTCTCTCTCTCTCTTCTCTGTCTCTCCCATACTCTTCTCTCTCTCTCTCGCTCTCCTATCTCTCTCATCTCTCTCTCTCTCGCTCTCTCTCTCTCTCGCTCTCTCTCTCTCTCCGCTCTATCTCTCTCTCGCTCTCTCTCTCTCTCTCTCTCTCTCTCGCTCTCTCTCTCTCTCTCTCTCTCTCTCTCTCTCTCTCTCCTCTCTCTCTCTCTCTCTCTCTCTCTCTCTCTCTCTCTCTCTCGCTCTCTCTCTCTCTCTCTCTCTCTCTCTCTCTCTCTCTCTCTCTCTCTCTCTCTCTCTCTCTCTCTCTCTCTCTCTCTCCTCTAGAGTCTCTCTCTCTCTCTCTCTCTCTCTCTCTCTCTCTCTCTATCTCTCTCTCTCTCTCTCTCTCTCTCTCTCTCTCTCTCTCTCTCTCTCTCTCTTCTCTCTCTCTCTCTCTCTCGCTCTCTCTCTCTCTCTCTCTCTCTCTCTTCTCTCTCTCTCTCTCTCCTCTCTCTCTCTCCTCTCTCTCTCTCTCTCTCTCTCTCTCTCTCTCTCTCTCTCTCTCTCTCTCTCTCTCTCTGACACCACACACACATACAGCCTATGCCACGCTTTCTAACTTCAGAATTGCTTTTAAATACATGGATGGCGATATACTAAAGAAATTGTTCACGACTTTTGTTAGGTCAAAGCTATAATAT